CCCTCGGTGGGAGCGCCACCGCACTCCCAAGCGGCGCACTGTAGCAGTGTGCCACCAGGCCGGCCCTAGAAACGTTTTTAAGGTATTCACTACTCTCCATCTGAATCTGGTTTTTTGTAATTAGCAAATAACCATTTTGGATAATTGTGTTTAAAGGTTTTAGAAATAGTACAAGGATTGTAACTTTGATAAGCATTTCACTTTTATTTATTTATTTTTGTTTCATTAGCTGTTTTTTCCCATAGGCCTTCAAATTTGGCAGGTGGTATGGATGAGGAACATGGCATTATTCCCAGGAAAAGGAATTAAGAAACCTGGTTTTATTTTACTCATTCATTTATTATGTACATCTTGGATTATGTGTTTTATTGTTCAGGTCTCAGTTTTCCCATCTTTATGATCTGAATGGTTTTGCAGCATCATAATTTGCAATAAAACCACAATACCTGATTTATATCAGCATTAATCTCACTGAACCTTTTCATAAAAACATTGGGTCATTCTTGCTTTGGATTTTATCTTCTTTCTTCATGTCTAAATAAATTTAGCTCAATTTATATCGAGAATCTATGTTGAAAAACCTGTCTTTCGAGTAATATTAGAAATTAATAATGTGATTGCCTTTGAACAGATACAGCCCTTTCCTTATCAGGTGCTAGCTTAGATTTGCCCAAAGTCTTGTGTTCTAGACCAGTGATTCTTAACCCTTGATACCCATTAGAGTCACCTGGAGACCTTTAAACAACAAAAGCAGGGTGCAGGCCCTGCCCTTAGGCCAATTAAATCAGACTCTCTAGAGGTGAAGCCTTAGGCACTTTTTAAAAAAGAGCTCTTACTAATGTGTATGCAGAGTTGAGGACAGCTGATGGAGATACTTACTGTTGAGTGTAATTTGTTATTAATGGAAGCCTGATATTGCACATTAACAGCAAAGAACAGAAGTCATATGAAAATCCCTGGGAGAGATATGTTGGAATCTTTAAATGATCAGGAATTGGTAAGAGAAAATTATTCCCTTCAGGAAAACATCATCTTCCTACTTCTAGACTTTGCCTCTGAAAGTTTCTGGACCTTTTAATCCTCTGTTGTCAAGATCTACAATCTTATCTTCAATCTTTATTTCTAAGAACATGCTTTGAAAATAGTATCTTAAAACTGATTTGTCTATAAAACATTACCTGAAGTGATATAAGGTTATTTGCAGTTTTTATCTCCAGTTGTAGTTGGTTTTTTTTTCTTATTGCCTTACATAATTTACAGTTTCTGTTTTGACTCACTTTATTCAGATAACATCAGTTAAAAACTGAGATTTTTATGTCAAACCTGAGTTTAAACACAGGGAAATATGCTGTTCTTCCCTTAAAACTGAAAGGGCTTGGCCAAGCCATTTAATCTGTTTGACTCCAGTATCTGTCAGTAAAATTGGCATACCATGATACTTCATAAGATTGTTGGGACACTGAGTGATAACTTACCTATTAAGTGTTGAAGTACCAGGGACCTAATCAACATTTAACAAAAGTTAACTATTGTTTTTGTTGTTATTTCTAATTAAATCTTGGCTCTTCTAACCTTTTCTAGTCAACAAATATTTATTAGGTGCCTATTATGTCACCAACATCTTGATAAGTGCCAGAAAAACATCCAAGAATAAGAGAGACACTATCCACGTCCTTCATGAGCTTTCCTTGACTCCCTCAGTAGACGTGTCCTAAACTAAAATCTACTAATTGACTCTTTAGATAGATACACATACTCGCAAAATGAAAGGATTATTGCTCCATTAATGAACTCCTCTAGTTTTATTTATCCTAAATAACTGTTTTCCAGCTGCCTCATTTTTTCAAATTCCCCACTGTATTAGTACATTTCCATTGCTTATAACAAAATACTTCGAACTGGGTAATTTGTAAAGCAAATAAAATTTATTGCTTATAGTTTCAGAAGCTGGGAAGTCGAAAGTCCAGGGAACACGCACATATGGCGAGGGCATTCTTTGGTGGTGGCTTTACAGGACTTCCCAACCTCTTTACACTATCACAGTGGGGACTAAGTTTTGGGGGACATTCAACCTTAGGCACCCACCCTCCACACAAATATGATTTCTGGCATAAACTGTTTTGGGGAAATCCATCACCACCGTAGAAGGATCTAGTTCTGTCATCTCCTCCTGCTCTGTTCTCTCTCTGGACTCTTTCTGTTCTGTATTCTGTTCAAACATAATAAGGAGACAAGCTCAATCCTTCTCAAATTCCTAATCTAGTTTATCTCTGGCTACTGAAGAATCTACTATCACTAGATAGCACTGGGGAAGGGAATTTTTGGTGGTTGTCTCAGGGACAGAAATGAGAGTGAACATAGGTTAATTAATATGTATCTTTTGTCAAGCTGTGGTTGTAGAGAGGTAATCAGGTTGTATTTCATAGGTTGGGAACCACTGTCCTGTGAGACCTCAACGTTTTGCCCATTTTTTTCTTCCTGGAACCTCTTAGATCAGGTTGCTGCCCTGTTAGTCTGAAAGTGCCCTGAATTCTAAGCCCTAGGATCTTGGGGGCATGACTACAACTAATCTATTGGCCTCTCTGTCAAGGTTTACTTATGGTTTTGCACTAAAGCCCATTGGACCAGGTTTGACTAAGTTTACTTTTAAAAGATTTGCTGTCAAACACTAACCTCTCTCAAGCATAAGATGCAGATTGTAAAATCTACATGCATTTGACATGGGTACCTTATCTGTGATTCTGTTTGTCTTGTTTTCTTATGCCCCCGTCCCACCCCCCCACCCCCACCAATAAGACCAGAAAGACAGTTTTTTCTTTCCAGTTTCTCTTTTTTCCTCTTTCCCTTAAAGGTAGGTATTTCTCTGGCCTCTTTACTTTATATACTCGGTAGTAGTGAACTCTTCTGTACCCCAAAACTGACTCTCAAATTTTTATCACCAGCACAGAGCTTTTCCCTGACTTCTAGTTCCATATATTTTTTTGCTCATGGAAACTTGCTTTGGAAGTCCCACCAGCAACTGAAATTTGCCATATCCAAAACTGAGCAAATTACCCCGGTAATTCCTACCCTGAATCTATCCTTCTTCCTATATTTCCTGCCTTTGTTAATGTCATCACTGTACTCATTCCCCTCCCTTTCTTCTCTTTTTCTCATGGAGTCCTATTGTCTGATTCCATTTCCTGGATTCTCTTGAATCATTCCTCTCCATCTTTCCACTCCCCCTCATTTAATATCCTCTTTAATATCCATCACCTTTACTGGGGCTGAGAAACCTGTGATTTTTATAAAACATAGATTTGATTATGATCCTTCCTTAAAATCATTCAGTTCTTTCCATTCCATTCACTTAGGACAAAATTGGTAAATTCCAAATTCACTGGAAGATGCACAAGACTTTTGGTGAACTGGTCTTTAACTCCCAGCCTTATCTCCAGCCATTCCTTCCTGTGCCTTCCACCACTGCTGCCCTCTAGGACTGGCCGTGTCTTTTCTTGCTTTTAAGCCCTTGCATCTGCCATTCCATCTCTCTTCTCTCTCTTGCTCACCTGCCTTAAATTTGCTTATCTTTCAAGATTCTGCTCAACAGTGTCATCTCAGGGAAATTTTCCCTAACATTTCTCCTTACCCTCCTTGTTGCTCTCATAGTCTCCTGTCATAGCACATGTGTCACAGTGCTTTGTGGTTGCTTGTTGTCTTGGCATGTTTCGTACTAGTCTCTGCTTCTTGAAGGTAAGGACTGTTTTTAATTTTGTAGCCACAGTCTAGCACAACATTTGACACATAAGAAGTTACACATCTGTGCTTGGTTCTGCAACTCCTTATATTAAGTCTTTAAACAAAGGAAAAAGCTTAAGGGGTCATTTTATTCTATACATGGATTTCTTAAAGTGACCAAAGCTCAGAAATATTGAAATCTCTTTTTTGTGGGCAATAAACATTATAATTGAGGTATCTTTTGGAGCCAAAGTGTCCTTTCCTTACTGAAAAGAATGTAGAACAGTCCAATTAGAAAGAGCATATAGAACTAAGTTCTGACTATTTTGTTTATTCAGCTTAAAATTTCCTGCCAAAGGCCAGAGAATCCATCTCAGGCTTTAGGCTCCTGCAGATTACTTGACTGGCTATACTGGTACATGGGATGTAATAGTGTACTGAAACGTCCTATTTTTCTTTTACTTTTTTTTTGCTCCTGTTGGCCCACATCAGGATTTAGTAAACTTGTTGCTTTGTTCTTAGGGTCAACTGCAAGCAGTATTTCATCAAACCAAATTCTGCTTTTTAAACTCAGTGACCTCTGTAAACCCCCTAAAGAGAATTGAAATAAAGCTAACGCATTTTCTTTTTGGTATTAGATTTTGTATTTATGTGAATTATTGAAAATAGCTGTTATGTAACAACAAATTAAATGCTTTCTGTTTTCTTATATTTATGGATTCAGTCAGGATTCAGAAGCACTATCAAGTGAACAGATCTGGAAGCATGGTAGTTTACTTATTGGTGAATCTGCTTTATTGTCTTAATTTGTTTAGTTGAAGTTCTGGTTCACAGATTGAGGGAAAACTGCATAAAATGATGTACACTATTTTAGATAGATGGCTGGTAGTACCTATCAGTATATCCTCTCTTTCTTATGGATCCCCCTTTTTAACAATATATTTAATGAAGTTCTTTGGCTCCTTGGTTATCAAGTTAAGATATTCTCTTTTAACTTAAAATATATGTATAAAAATAATTTTATGCATATTGTATAGTAGATATTAGCTAGAGTTAACAAAAAATGTATTTTTTACTGAGGAACAATCCCTAATATTTTGCAGCCCAATGGATAGTAGTTGTTTTCTTCCAGGAGTATAATTTTCTTGAAGGTAAGATATCTTTGTATTCTTATTAATTATAGAAGTAATTGTAGCTTATGCTCAGTTGTTGGTTGAATGAATGAATTGAACCATGCCTGTAGGAATGAATAGCTACTAATACCATCTATCATTTCTGTTTATAGGTACTACCATTTAAGGAAACTTTCTTGCCAGCAAATCTATGATAAAAAATATAAGTAACAGAGGAAATCATAACTGTTATTTGTCAAGTGACAAGTTTTTAATGTCAGAATGGCTCACCTAAAGCGACTAGTAAAATTGCTTATTAAAAGATATTACCATAAAAAGTTCTGGAAGCTTGGTGCAGTAATTTTTGTCTTTATAATAGTTTTGATTTTAATGCAAAGAGAAGTAAGTGTTCACTATTCCAAAGAGGAATCAAGGATGGAAAGAAACATGAAAAACAAAAACAAGATGTTTGATTTAATGCTAGAAGCTGTAAATAATATTAAAGACGCAATGCCAAAAATGCAAATAGGAGCACCTGTCAGGCAAAACATTGATGCTGGTAAGAGACCCTGTTTGCAAGGATATTATACAGCAGCCGAATTGAAACCCGTTCTTGACCGCCCACCTCAGGATTCTAACGCACCTGGTGCCTCTGGTAAAGCATTCAAGACAATCAACTTAAGTATTGAAGAACAAAAGGAAAAAGAACGTGGGGAAACAAAACACTGTTTTAATGCTTTTGCAAGTGACAGAATTTCTTTACACCGAGATCTTGGACCAGACACTCGACCTCCTGAGTATGTTGAAGAATATTCATTGTTTACTGTTTATCACCAGGGTTGTAGGGTAGAGTCATTAACTAAGGAAGTTGCTTGTTCTTTAGCCACGCTGTGGCAGAAAATCAACAAATAGTGTTTAATGTGTATTGTTTATTTTTCGCTTATTATTATCGAGGTTTGATATGCATATCTACGCTTGGTGAGGAAGAGCAGATGTGAAAATTTATTAGCTTGGAAATTAGAAAACTGGATTCTAGATCTGACCTCTTGTCCACAAGAAAATCTTTTATTCTTAACGGCTGTAGTTTTCTCATGTACTTGGGAGGAAATATTCGACAGTTTTTATGCGAAATGTAGGAGGTGGAGTTGTTTTCATTTCTCTGTGTATTGCTACAGAATAGACATGTTAAAAAATGTGCCAAGATTTTGGAGCTATAGGATAATAATATTGTATGAGTTTATTAACTAAGTCACAGACTTTGTGGCTACTTTCAGTGCATAATTATATTTCAGAATGTCCTGTATTTTGCAAGCTTCCTCTTAAAGGAGAATATTATTACAATTACTATTTCAACTATGATTTTTTCTCTACAGTTTTGTCAATTAAATTCTCATACCTATAGAGTTGTCTTCTTTTAGCTACTGGGAGGCCAGCATTCCTTTATATTGAGTCACTTTGTCTATATGTTTGTCTCAAGTATATAGTGTTTTGATTAATATTTACCCTCAGGTTCTGCTGTGCTTTCTCTTTATCCTTACTTAATAACCATTTTGCTATATGTTCAAATGCTATATTTGAACTGATATGGCTAAAATGAATTCCAGTGCCTTCAAGCCATTGGTAGATTTTTGAAAGCACAATATAGGCAAACTCGTAAACAAACAGTGCTTACACATTTTGCTTTCTGGTTATAACAGAATTACGTTTGTTAGTGAACCTAAAGAAAAGAACTTTTGTAGGCTTTGGTGTATTGTGTTACTCAGGTTTTTCTAGGTTTATTATTATGAATACCTGCTCCAACTATATGAGTCCCGTAATGTTGTACTAGTGTAGGTTGGATTTCTGTCACTCTTTTCTACTCTGTATTATTCAAGGTTAAGTTGCTCATTGTTTTTAAATGCATGTATAAAGAAACAAACAATTGTCTATAAAATATTCTAGCTGTTATAGCAGGGCACAGTATAGTTCCTTTTTTATCTTAATAGATTTGACTGTAGTATTGAACTTTACTGATTTCGGGATCAGTCTTGACTAAAAAGTAATCCACATCAAATGTCCATAAGCATGATTTTCATTCTTTGACATGACAATCAGTGTTGGCTCCAGATGGGCTTTTTTTTCCAATATAGTATTAAGAAACTGCAATAATTTTAGATGTTAGTTGTTAAATTGGTGAAAAAAACTAAGCACATTAAGAACATTTTTTGGTTAGAGTGAAGATTTAATTATTTCTTACTTTGGACAGCGTTTTGTAAAGGTGATGAAGATTTAATTGTATCATACTTTGAATGTAACCCTATCAAAAGGAAACACCTTTTCTGACGAATTGCTAGTATTTTGCATGGTTACTCTTAAAGCCAGATGGTCATGTGACTGATAATTTAAGTATGTTTCCATATGCAAGATTTTTCAAATACTTTAACTAGAAATCACAGCTACTTTGGCAAGTTATTTTAATTGCACTATTTTAAGTGATTTTTTTTTTTCCCTTTTTTTTTTTGTCCTTTTTTGAGACCGGCTGCACCACGCTCAGCCAGTGAGCGCACCGGCCATCCCTATATAGGATCCGAACCCGCGGTGGGAGCGCTACTGCGCTCCCAGCACTACTGCGCTCCCAGCGCTGCACTCTCCTGAGTGCGCCATGGGCTCGGCCCTTAAGTGATTTTTTAAAGCATAAATTGGGCCGCCCCATGGCGCACTCGGGAGAGTGCGGCGCTGAGAGCGCAGTGGCACTCCCGCTGCTGGTTCGGATCCTATATAGGGATGGCCGGTGCGCAGTGAGCGTGGTGAGGGTGACACCAAGCCAAGGCGCCAAGGGTTGCGATCCCCTTACCGATCACAAAAAGGACAAAAAAAAAAAAGCATAAATTTACCATGTTAGTTGGTTCAAAATGAATGGAGTTTATGGAATCATACAGTGAAATTTTATCACTTGCATTAATAATATAACATGACACTTTTACTTAGTTGTCAGTTAAGCAAGTAAATTCTAGCTTAAATGAGGGGAAAGCTTTGTGAGATTGAAGTGACAACATATTATTAGTGTGAAGTTTTCTACAATTTTATACTTTAAATCTTAAAACCTTTTTTAAAATTTATTTTTTTCATTGTACATGTTTATGGGGTACAATTTGATGTTTCAATCAAAACCTTTTTTAAATTCTTGATTAATAATGTATTAATTGGGCCGAGCCTGTGGCGCACTTGGGACAGTGCAGCGCTGGGAGCGCAGCAGCGCTCCCGCTGGGGGTTCGGATCCTATATAGGGATGACCGGTGCGCTCACAGCGCTCACTGGCTGAGCGGGGTGCAGCTGGTCTCAAAAAGAACAAAATAAATAAATAAATAAATAAATAAAATAATGTATTAATTAACCACATGGCAAATAAAGGTAGGAAAAAATAAAATCCCCAAATTCCACTTCTTCCCCAAAATGCTTGTGAGATAATAAATCATGTTTCTTCTTTTTAAAAAAGAAAAGAAAATACTATATTACAGAGGGGTTTTTTTTTGTTGTTGTTGTTGTTGTTTTTACAAAACTTTTTCATAATTTTTATTTATAGTTTATGTTGGCTTATAAACTTTTGTTAAAAATGCAAGCTTATATTTAGTCATGTCTGTGTAATTATGGTTTAGTTGTATATATGAATAATCTGTGTGTGAGTTTTATTTTTAATTAGTGGTTTATACAAAATTCTGTTCAGAATAACTTGCTTTCATCTACCAGTGAGGAAGAGTGTGCTTATTTGCTTCTGACAAGGCATTTTTCATTTTGAAATCATGAAAGCACTAGAGAGCAAAAATCACTTTCACTCAGAACCACCCTCTCCTTTTCCTTCTCAGTCTTGACACCTCTTGATATTTTACTCCCAATCTAATTCCTTCTTTCTCACTACAAATATTCCATTCTAAAGACCTGCTCTTAGAAAAGGATCTCAAAGACATTCCTATTGAGGTATGGAAGTAATTAATGAAGAATTTGTAGATCTTTTTTAGGTGGCTTTTCCAGGCCCCCAGTGTCACACTGTGGGCTATGGTTTCCCCATTGGCTCTGGCAGAGCAACTGAAGTGTATTGGGCACTTATCTCCATGAGTGATTGATTTACTTCCTTATCTTTGGGTCTGAGCAGGCTGTTTGATTGTTCATACACGTATTTATAGTGCCTTTTGCCTGTGTGGGAGAATTTCCTAGTTTGTTGTCCAAAATGTTCGGCCATTTGTGGTTTTTAAGTGACCTTAAAGATACAGTTGTTTTATTTGTTTTTCCTTTCCATAGACCACCCATGGTTTTATTTTATGTCCCAGTGTTTTGAAGTCCTCTCCTATATATTATTTTATTTGATCCTCATCTCAACTCAGCAGGCTAGGAGCTGTGATTATCTCTACATCTACACTCTCAAGGACTGGAGACTATTCAAACTGACCCACACCCCAGTGGCTTAATATGAAGATTATTGTCATCAAGGAAGACGTTGTAATAAAAACGGATTCAGGATCAATTTACTGTCAATGTTTTTAGCTAATGGATAGTAATTAGTCAAGATTACTTATAGTCTCTCTCCCTATGCCTGCCGGTGAACCTTTCAGATGGTGACAGAAGCACATGACTTTTAACATGGATTTTGGTCTTTATTTTAAATTTTTAAATTTTTTTTTAAAGGAAATTTTAAAATGCTAGGCCTTAATTAAGCAGTAGATCAGATTATTAAAGCAAAATCTTTAATATAACTGATGGCAAATGGTAGTATTTAATAAGTACTTGCTGAATGATGGACATTTTAAGAACATAAGTTTATGGTCAGCTATTTTTTCCCTTTTTGTTTCCATATATAGATTAAGAAAATTGATTAAATAAGCTTGGGAAATACTTAGGAAATGTATGTACTTACAAAAGTATCTTATTTAAGATAATCTATATTAAGAGTATTCATTTAATAAAGTTACACAATTTTTTGTTGCAACTAAGAGAAATAAATGATTTCTGCAGGAAAGGAGAAAAGCTTCTTTTTAATTGAGCACTGACAAGGATTTTCATTTTTACATGTCTCATGGGTTATTTTCACTATTTAAAATATTATTTGTATTAAAAATTATTTTTGTATTAAAAATATTGTTGAGAAAGCTTACAATAACATGTTATAGTCATTGGCATGTTGTAATCCCTATCAGTGGACATGATCTCTAGGTGGGTGATCTGCTTGTAAATAATTTGTTTTGCTGTGTTTCCATTTATATATCATTAAGATTATTTCACATAGAAAGAAACTACTTACTACCATTTTTCAGTGATAAGGATAAATAATGATAATTTTAGCAATGGTATCACTGTGAAATAAAGTAATAAAATTCATAATTGTTCTTCTACTTCTTTGACTTCTTCTAGATGTATTGAACAAAAATTTAAGCGCTGCCCTCCCCTGCCTACCACCAGTGTCATAATAGTTTTTCATAATGAAGCGTGGTCCACGCTGCTTAGAACTGTCCACAGTGTCCTCTATTCTTCGCCTGCAATACTGCTGAAGGAAATCATTTTGGTGGATGATGCTAGTGTAGATGGTAAGAAAGCACATGCAAATTAGATTGTTTCGCAAGTAAATCCATGTGGTGGCATCCAAAATCTATTTGTTCATATTGTCCTCTCTGTATGCTATCTGAGAGCTTGAACATAATAGTTTGGATGGTATGTATGATGCATGAAAATAGGATCCAAAGATGTCTATATTCAAATATTTTGGGGTGCAGAAATGTATGAAACACCATTATTTATTACTATATTATTTAAATGTGTTGTAAGGCATAGTTGTTAAGAGTGCAGACTTGAACCCTAAGTTAGGTTGCCTTGATTTGAATCCCAGCTCTAGTCCTAACCAGCCATGTAACTTGGGCAAGTTACTTAACTTCTCCGCCTCAGTTTCTTTATTAGTAAAAGGGATATAATGCCATATTGCATCAAATCCGAATCACCATTTATTGTAAGATACTCTATTATATTCTGTACACAAGAAAAAAAAATACTGCCTATTAAGTAATATTCTATCAATTACAAAATGTATCCAGATTCCTGAAATGGTGAGTGGGTAAAACATGAAATTATTAACCTGGTTTATTTCATCATTTCTACCTACAATTCTAAACATCCCATGGTTTCAAAATTAAATATGCTGAGTGAGTTGAGGTTATGTTCTCAAGTTAAAATAAATATAGGTGGAGTAAGATGATTAATAACCAGAGATTTTTGACCTAGATGTGAAACCTATCCTCCAACGGGGAAGTTTTATAATTTACATCCGCTGAATTCAAGTTACACACTTCAGAGCTCTGATTTGAATCTATAATCCCCTTTCACAGATTACTTTGGTCAATTGTAATCAACTGATTTATTTATTGCTTGATCTGTTCTGAATTTTTTCGTATTATTTGTCTAGTTGGACCACAGTCCATGGAGTTTTAAGTGATATCTGATTAAGTTCTGCACATCTGTCATATGTTTTACCTTAAAAAACAAAAGCAATTGAATATAGACTTTATCTTAGATATCTTACGCTTTTGGTTTCTTGAAAGTTTCCTCTCAGATGATTTTTAATTTGTTTGATTTTCAAAGTATAGGATGATGAGGCATGGTAAGTCTACTTCTAGTAAGCCTTCTAGTAAAATGTCTTTATCTAATTGCACAAAAGAAATTATAGAATTAAAGGGAATCATAGTGAAAAGCAATCCATTCATAATCTTCCAGTTTCAACCATTGTGGTATTTTCTTTCTTAGTCACTGTCTAAATAATAATCATAATGTTTATCTAATTATATTCATGTCAGAAATCCCATTTTAAGATCTGACATTTTCACCTAACATTGTTATTAGCCTGTTTGTTTTACCTTCAAAAATATTTTTAATGACAATGATGAACTAGAAGCATTTTACTTAACCATTCATCTTTTTTTTTTTTAACCCCATAGTGTTACTATATGTTATAATGCAGTAAATATGCTTGTAATTATGTCATTTTCCTTCTTTTAAATTATACCTTTAGATAAGTTAGGAGAAGTAGGAATGCTTGGTCAAAGGATCTAAATATTTTTATAATTCTTTATAGTAATCAACAGTAGATTTGAAACAGTTTTCTTAACGAAGTTATCGTTGCACGCTAGTGTAATTTGTCTTATTGAATCAGTCACAGAGCTATTCAATGAGTACCTACTGTGTGTCTCTTATTGCTGTGAAGGGGCTTATGAAGTAGAAACTAGTCCCTGATTCCAATTTGCTTAGGGAAAAGCCACATAAATATGTGGATAGTCACGTAACAATGAGGTAGTTAAATACCAGTGATAGCAAAATAAAAGATAATTAACATTTTCATAGTATAGACCACATGGTGAGTCCTGTATTAAATGCTCTGTTTGTACATTAATCTCTCATTTTATCCTCCCAACTGTCTCCTATGATGGTAAGTCCTATTATCCCTGTTAGATAAAGAAACCAAACACAGAAAAGTTAAAATAGTTTGCTCAGGGTCACACAGTTAAAAGTAATGGTGCCATAAATTGAACCCAGGATGTCTGATTTCATATAGCTTTGTGCTCTTAACCTCCCAAAAAAGTGGTGTGGATTGGAGCCAAATTTAGAGGACAGATAAGAATTTACGGGAGGTTCAGATGTTGTGGGTAAATAAAACATTTCTTAACAAGTTCAAACAATAAGAGGGTTTTTTGAAGAAATCTGTAGTAACTCCATTTTAAAAAGTCAATCCCCATTAAGACCTTTGAAATTTTACAAGTCTCTTAAAGCAAAAAATATTTATGATTATATTTTTAAGACAAATTGCAATCCTGCTTGTCTTTCAGAGAATTATTTCTGAGGTGCTTAGTAGGTGTTTTTAAAAGCTGATCTATTACTCTGAGACAACAGTGTTTAAGATAGATTTATTTTTCCATAAGGAAAAATTTGTTGTTCCTGGATTCTCACCTCCCTCATGAATGTTTAAGCTTTAAATAACTCTTATCTTCACTACTGCATAGTTGAAAAAACATATATCATCACAGGTAAAGTCAAAATTATCTGCATTTGCTTCTGAAATCTGGCAGAAGCAAACGTCTACCCCAGGACATTTATTTACTTTCTGTTATTCCCAAATCTTTCTGAGACTGTGCCAACTTAAGTAGCCAAGAAGGCCACTTAAATACCTGTATTATAAACTCAACAAGGAATCAAGAATTTAATGTTAAAAAAACAGGTTTAAGAAGTTGTTTGAAAATCTGAGCAACACTTGTTTGACTTGATTAATGGATTTTTTTTCTTTCACCTACTGTCTCAGCTTTTGCTTATTATGTATCTCATCCAAATGGAATATTAAATATCTTAAATTACACACCCATTACTAAAATTTTGCCTGTTTTTAACTTCATTCCTGATTTACATACTCCTTTTTACTTTTATATTTTTGCTGGAAAAAATTTTGTCAGGAGACTCCAAAGCTTTTGAAAATTTTCTGCTGACTCTTTGTGGAAATATTCCCAAACTGCTGTAAGCCTTGGACTTTCCTACTTGCCTCTTTCTCAACATTTCGGTTTTAAATTATTTTGATCACTGCCTAAGTATCAGAGAATCCTTTTGATACTTGTCATTTTTCTTTAAGATATCCAGGTGTAAATACCAATTTTAAAAAGTGTTGAATATCTTTATGGCCAAATTCCATTTATTTCACTCTCATAGTCAATCTTCTTTACCTCTCAATGAGTCTTAACTCCTTGGGTCCACTCCATTTGAAGTCTCTCACTTTCTCCCAAACACACTGTATTTATTGATATGAAGTATACAGGATAAATATGTGTTATAATGTTTGTATTACAGTAGTTATGATTTGCATACATAGCCTTTTTATTCCAGTGAAGAGATAAAGATAATAATTTTCATTTTACTAGAAGAGCACATGCACTGTTAAGATTATGAATTTGGAGGAATCATTGCCCTGTGGTTTCATTAGCTTTTATATGTTATATATGAAAATAAATTTTAAAAGAATTAATCCTGCTTTTTTTTCTTTACAGATTACTTACATGATAAACTAGAAGAATATATAAAACAATTTTCTATAGTAAAAATAGTCAGACAAAAAGAAAGAAAAGGTCTGATCACTGCTCGGTTGCTAGGAGCAGCAGTAGCAACAGCTGAAACACTCACATTTTTAGATGCTCACTGTAAGTATATGTATGTAGACATAGTTGTAACATTTTCCTTTCCTCTTCCTCTAAAAGGTAAGGAAGACTTTTCTTTAAATGCCTAATTGCATTTTCTTTAACAGTATTTTCTACTGGTGCTTATAGCAATGATGACCCGAGTAGATAAAAGCTCTGCACAGGAACTTCCTATTACTTACACAGAGTTCTTATATCCTTTGGGTTTGTGTCCTCAACTTTAGTGTCCTCCAGTGATCAGTTTTCCCAGAGAGTTATCCTTGCCTGGATTTTTTTTTTCTGTCTTTTTTTTTTTCATGTTCATTCTGTCTATAAAAAAAAATTTTTCTTCTTGTTATTTTTGATTCCTGCACTTTAAAATGACTGAAAGTTTACTTAAGTATAATCAACTATATCATGAAACTTCATCCTATACTGCTACTTTTCATTTTTATATTTTAGTTCTTTTTTTCCCTGAAGTTCATGGATGCCTTTTTATGCCAGGTAAGGGATGCCCCCTTCCAACTTCTGGTAAACATTGTCTATTTTTGTTTGGTTTTGCTGCTGTTGGGTTTTTTCTCTGTATTTTAATTTTTTTCAGTGTCAATGTTTTTAAAGTATTTAGAAAGTATTTTTAGAGTCAATGTATTATGTGCATGCTAGGTACTACTAAAATGTCACTTAGTTCCTTGAGCTATAAGTTTAGTGGGTTTTATTCTTGGTATGAGTATTTAGTTTTGAATTGGCCAGCCCTTAAGTTATGTTTAACCCAACAACTGGTTTTGAGCATGTGCTAATTATTACAGAAAGGTTTTTGGATTTGCCTGAATAGTTTAGAGCCCTCACATCCAGTACTCTTTTAATACTAGGCATTTAAAAAAAAAACAGAGTGCGGTCTAAAGATAATTTTAGAGATGTGTTTAGCAAAGGAAAACACCATTCTCTAGTGTTCTTTCTCCTGTTCCAAAATCACAATAAGGTCAGACTGGGCATTTTTCTCCTTCAGGTGAATGTGTCTGATGGTCCTACTGAACCATGACTGCCAAATTTCACTCAGTGGGGAGCCCAGAATATTACTGCACAAGAATTGTCTGGACTCACTGTGTGTTGTGTGAGACAGCCTGGCCTGTGACCAGGGCCCCGACCTCTCACAGGACTCCGGGTTTCACTTTCCATTAGTGTTGGGGCAGCTTTAAATGGTCCTTTTCTCTGACTGGTAAATTCAGAATATTCTGACTTCTTGACTTATTTTCTCCTAAAATTTTGTTAGAGAAATGAAGATTTCAATTACTGTACCTTACTTTAGAGGGAGATAAGTTTAAATAAATTAGAACACTTTTCGGGCTAGATGATGTGAATGAGCAAAAACTTATCTTTGATTCAGAGCTCATTGTAAAGGGAAATATATCATCTGGACCTTAAATACACCACTATCATTTTGCTTCTTTTCTAGGAGAAAAAGAGACCATCATCTGTAGGGAAATTTTCCTAACTATGTTATATTTTGCTTTACCTTTTTCATCCTACCCTCATCCTGTCATAAGAAACCTTTAAGAAATCTCCCCTCCTGAAGATCTATTGTAACAGCATGGTGACTATAGTTAATGATAACATAATGTATACTTGAAAATTGCTAAGAGTAGATCTTAAATGTTCTCACCCCCCCACACACAAAGACAACCATATGAGATGATGAATATGTTAATTAGCTTGATTGTGGTAATCATTTCACAATGTATACATATATCAAAACATTATGTTGTACACTATAAGTATATGAAATTTTTATTTGTTATACCTCAGCTGGAAAAAAAATCTCCTCTTTATAAATGTCCAAAACACAAATGACTTTGTTATTCTCATTTCTTGGTAAACCTTCACCCAATCGACTAAAGGAAAAACTCTTTAGTGTTTTCACTTAATTAATTAAAATTCCATTTTCTCCAGGTGAGTGTTTCTATGGTTGGTTGGAACCTTTGTTGGCCCGAATAGCTGAGAACCACACTGCAGTCGTGAGTCCAGATATTGCATCTATAGATTTGAACACTTTTGAATTCAATAAACCTTCTCCTTATGGAAGTAACCATAACCGTGGAAATTTTGACTGGAGCCTTTCATTTGGCTGGGAATCACTTCCCGATCATGAGAAACAAAGAAGGAAAGATGAAACCTACCCAATTAAGTAAGATGATTGCTCTCAAAGTCTTATATTATCAACATATACCATACATTGTGAATATGTGTGCACTCTTTGCCTTTCCAGCAATTGCCTGTGAGGTAATTCATACTAACAAAATAAAGAACACACACATTTTATGTACAGAGAAAAGTCATTTATTTATGTACTTACACATAATGTTACTGAGTAGGAAATAGAATTAAATGGGCTGTTATGTCTTCCTCATAAATCATTACTTAAGAATCTTAAAGCTGGAGCTGGCTGGTTGATCGTTTGCTTAGAGGTCAAGGGTTTGGAACCCCATTCCGGGGCAGCCACCAAAAAAAAAATCTTAAACATGGTTAGTAAAAGACACTTAATAATTTTGCTCTGCTGGGAGAGGACAATTTAACTATGCTGGGAGAGGACAATTTAAAGTATTTTTTTCTCTCTAAACTTGAAAGATAGCATTTTTAGTTTATATTAATCCTTGTAAAAGCTTTGAATTTGTGATATCCCTTTAATTTGTGAATTTGATTCCGTTCTTAAAATATGCTATTTTATCTTATTTAATTTTTATAACAAAGTTTGACAATGGATTATTTTTCAGAACACCCACTTTTGCAGGAGGCCTTTTTTCCATATCGAAAGAATATTTTGAGTATATTGGAAGTTATGATGAAGAAATGGAAATCTGGGGAGGTGAAAATATAGAAATGTCTTTCAGAGTAAGTTTATGGAGATTAAATATAGCACATGTATTAAGCAGAGAAATATATTGTGCTCTAATAGGCTGGTACAGATTATTACAGATGTGTGCAGTCTTTACTTTTTGTGCTTTCTAAAATTTAATTGCTGGAAATTTTGGAATAAGAATATTTCCTTTTAAGATGTCACTTAAAGTATTTATTCATTGTTGCCAGTGTAACAAGAGGAATCAGTTAAACTCCTGTGTTCAGGCAGTAATAGCAATTAATGCACTTGTAGCTGCTGAATTCCAGCCAAGATAAATATAATTAAATCTAGTGTTTCAGGAAATGAGTTGATTATCAAGGAAGTCAGAATGGAAAAACATGTATGTATAATTTTAAAGGACATTGAATTTAACTCTTTGGAATAAATGAGCTGAATTTTTTCCTATACATAGTAAGAGTAAATATGAAAAACAAAACAAAAGCTTTGGATAGTCTCCACATGTACCTTATGTATTTAATTTCATGAGTTTATTTGCTGTAATAACTTTATCATTCATTTTTCATCTCTTAGGCTGGAATGTAGTGGGAAATGAACTGGACTAGGAGTTAGAAGATTTAAGTTTGGGTTCTGGCTCCATCACATACTGGGAGTGATGATCTTAGCCAAGTTTGAACTGCTTAGGGGCAGGGGTCTTGTTTTATTCATTTCAGTATTTCCAACCCCTCATGCATGGTGAATCTCAAGCCCAGTTTGTTTAATTGAAAATATGACTGAGTTTTCTGATTTGTTTAAAAAAGAAGAAAAAGAGGATGTGATCACTTGTTCTAATACTAGCACATGCTATTAAATATGACTTCTTTTCATATTTTTTGCTTAGTGATTATTTATGATAAAACCAATTATTAGGATATTTAAGTGAAAATGTATTGACTTCATGACTTGCCATTTTATTTAGAATTAATGCAAATATGTTTTTTGGCACTTTCTCTCTAAATCGGCATGAATTCTTTATGACCAACTACTTCATAAATTTAATAGATTGTACTTAGGTAAAAATGGCTATCTGCACTTGCTTCTTGATTACAAAATTGAATATGCCAGGAGTACATAGAATCTGGGTCCACTTACACCCAGACTACTAGTTCATGCCTTAGAAGAGAAGCCCTGTGGTTTAAGTGAAGTGACCATGTAAGTTGTAGAAGATAAAAGTTGAATGCACAGAGCCTCTGGTCTTCTGTGCATGTTAGAGAACTTGCATAATTGTTTGCATAAGAATAAATTTTGGAATTTATTTTTATGAAAGATCTGAAATCACTGTTTGTTAGCTTACTTTCTGAAAACATGCTTTTGATATCTTTAGTGTTTATACCATTTAGTAAAAAGCTTTTTACATTTAAGAAGTTAAGTGCAACAGGCAAGGGAAAGAGACTATTCATGAAATTATAATGACTCTCTGTATTTCGTTTTATTAATATCTTAAAAGTGAACTTAAAAGCAACACTTTGATTTTCCTAAAATACTGTAAATTTAAACAAATATCATTAATTATCAGGTATGGCAATGTGGTGGGCAGTTGGAGATTATGCCTTGCTCTGTTGTTGGACATGTTTTTCGCAGCAAAAGCCCTCATACGTTTCCAAAAGGCACTCAGGTGATTGCTCGCAATCAAGTTCGCCTTGCAGAAGTCTGGATGGATGAATACAAGGAAATATTTTACAGGAGAAACACAGATGCAGCAAAAATTGTTAGACAAGTAAGTTAGAACTAAATAATTAAACTACAGTAAAAATCTATACCAAGTTCTCATGTCCTCTCGCTTATTTGAGTCACCTCAAGTACAAAACATTCAACAATTATCTTTGAAACTAAGTTTTTTTATTTTAGCTCTTAAAATATATAACTTACAGATGCCAGCTTCCTCTTTTTTAAAGGAAAAATTAAGTAAATTGTTTTTAAAAAATTTAAACATTCTACTTGATATTATCCTTTTTAATATGAAACATATTATTTGTAACTGCCTTTGGTTCAATATTTTACTCAAAGAAAATAAGATTAAGTAGAACTGCTTTTTACTGGTTTTAGGAGATGTGATTAACACCTAACTAAAGGTTCTAAGTGGCTTTTTGAACTGGAATAGAGATAATGTAATGTGGCATGAGAATAAACCAGGAGTATTAAGGCTTTTTTTTTTTTTTTTTCCAAATTCTAGTTCCTCTAGTCACTGGAGATATTACCTTGGCAAATCCCCTTTCAGAATGTACAATGGGAATAACACTTCATAGGGTGGTTTTGAGGTGGCCGGACCTTGAATGCTCAACATGTTTCTTCTCTCTCCTTCCCTGTCGTGAGATGAAATGCATGTCCTCCTCTCTCCCAGAGAAACTGTGAAATAAGGAAGTGATAAGTGCTAACAAATATGTGGTGCTCTTGTTATTAACCTGTCATAGATAGATTCTGCTCTGCAGAATTGTGATGCCTAATACATTAGAGCTGAGTTCCAACTGTCTTAATATTGAATGTGCTAAATTAACTGGAGAGTTTAAGAATGTGCCTCGGTGGATGATACCCAACTCTTCATAGGAAACAGTGCTAATTTGCTGGGGGGTGGGGGCAGTATTTATTAGGAATCAGGGGCATCAACATTTTGCCTGTGGGTTAAAGAGAGATCTAGTCCACCTTTTCTTTGGTCTCTAATATCTCCCTGTAACATGTCAGTAGGATGCAAACTCAGAGCACTACTTTTTTAGTTTGCTGTCTTTTTACCCAAGGCCAAGACAAATCGGGCAGATTTTGTACTGCACAAGAATACTTGGCTAAGCAGGCAAGTGGGCACTAAACGAAGCTTATACTCTGCTTGTTGCCCCAAAAGGGGAAAGAGAGCCAGCAAAAGCTTGTCTTTACCATGAGGCACATAGATATATCTAGTAAAAATACATAAGCTACCCAGAAGTCCTTAAGTCATACTTTTTTGCTAAAACACCTGAGTTTAAGACATGGAAGTTGCCATAAGAAAATATTTTCCTTCTTTGAACCAATAAGCTTCAGTTTTACATTTTTATACATTTAGCTATCAAATACAATTTTTGTATTAGTTCATTTTTTGTTGCTGATAGCAGAATACCTGAAGCAGGATAATTTATAAAGAAAACAAAATTTTTTTCTTACAGTTTCAGTGGATGGGAAGTCCACGGTCCAGGGGGCACATCTAGTGAGTACCTTCTTTTGGGTGGGGACTGTCTACAGTAGGGTCCTGTGGTGATTCAGGCAATCACATGGAGAGAATGGCAAGAGTTTTCTCGTCTGCTGTCCTTGGAAAGCCACCAGTACACACCTATTATAACTCATTACTCCATGAATGAGTTTATCCATTCATGAGAGCTTAGTCCTCACAATCCAATCACCTCTTAAAGTTTCCATTTTTCAAATACCATAATCTGATTTCCCACCCTCTTAACGCTGTTGCAGTAAGGATCAAGTTTCCAACACACGAACCTTTGGGGTTGACATTTGACCCACAACAATTTATCTCTAAAATTTTGCCTGTAGACCAAATACATTTTCAGTTTAATAGTGCTTTTATTTTTTTTTTAATGTTCTTAGTCCCTTAAAATAAAGAAAAATAAAATGCAATTAACTCAGAAATTGCCTCTTTCTACTAAAGGTCCAGTCAGGGATATTGTTAAGAGTAAGCAATACCCTTAAGTTAGAATAAAATGATTCCCAACTATGTCGTTTTTTTGGTGGTGGTAAGCTTTTTAGTTTTTTTCTTTTCTTTTTGGTAATAGATTTTATGTTTATAGTAGGTTTAGGTTTACAGAAAAATTGAGGAGAAAGCACAGAGAGTTTATATACCCCCCTCCCCATTTCTCTTATTATTAGTATCTTACATTAGTGTGGTATATTTATGGACCAATATCAACACATTATTGTTAACTCAATTTTACAGTAGGGTTCACTCTTTATGTTGTACAGTTCTATGGGTTTTGCCAACTGTATAATGCCATGTATTCATCATTGCAGTATCACAGAATAGTTTTGCTGGCCTAAAAATCCTCAGTGTGGGCCGGCCCGGTGGTGCACTGCTACAGTGCGCCGCTTGGGAGCGCGGCGGCGCTCCCGCCGAGGGTTCGGATCCCACATACAGACCGGTTCCCGCTCACTGGCTGAGCAAGGGGCGGGCGCAACACTGAGGGTTGCGATCCGTTGCCGGTCACGAAAAAAGACAAAAAGGAAAAAAAAAAAATCCTCAGTGTTCCACCTGTTTATCCCTCTCTCCCTCCCCTGAAACCGTAGCAACCAATTTCGTTTTGGTTTTTGTTTATTGTTCTTGGTGGTGGTGGTTTTTCGTGGTCTTGACTGAGAAGAGATATAAATTGTCTTATGTTTGTTTATCTGTACTATTTATCTATACCTGCTCTCTCACACCTCACTTGACAAATCGATTTTAGACATAAAGTTGGGACTAATTTTGGATGCTTGCACACCATCTCTGTGCCCACAGCATTTTACTAGTGATCTTTGTCCTGTAGGGGAGGTTTGTAGCACAAATGAAGAGTAAAATAGCACAATGTCAGCACTGCAGTGGTGATTCTCTTTGAAGCCAGAAATGAACAGGCAGCCATACTTGTTGCCTGAATAAGTGGTGAATGCTGTTAAATTGTGCCTTGCATTTCTGCCCAGAATTTTTTTAATACCTAAACATAAATACAAATAGTAGCATTGAAAGTACTTTATCAGTGCTTTTTTAATTAAGCATTCCTTTCATTTCTCATCTTTTTCCAGAAATCATTTGGTGATCTTTCGAAAAGATTTGAAATAAAACACCGTCTTCAATGTAAAAATTTTACATGGTATCTGAATAATATTTATCCAGAAGTGTATGTGCCAGACCTTAATCCTGTTATATCTGGATATGTGAGTATTTTCCTGTTCCTTTTTTACTTGATGTACTCCTTGCCACCAACATTTATGTGGTTCAGGGAAAATTGCTGAAATACTTTCTGATTTATTGCTTTTGAGATTTTACATTATTATTATTAACGTTATTTCCTGAAATTAATTAAAAATATGTAAACTACATAGATTAAAGAAACTTTTTTATTACTTGAAATTTTTCCTTTAGATTAAAAGCGTTGGTCAGCCTCTCTGTCTTGATGTTGGAGAAAATAATCAAGGGGGCAAACCATTAATTTTGTATACATGTCATGGACTTGGGGGAAACCAGGTGAGCACTGTATTAAAAATTCTCCCTTACAAGCACAAGTAAGATGTTGCATATTTTTCATAAATCTTAAATCAGTTTTATGCTTAGGTAAATTTGCATGTGAAATGTTTTTAGACTAAGTTTGGCAATTAATATTAAAGTTGTAGAGTACTTTATTTTGGCTCTGAAAACAATTTGAAGTTTGTCTTGACATTCAACAGAAAGGAAAATGATAAAATAATAGAATATTGTCATTTGAAATAAAAAAAAAATAGGATCTTCTGTGCAGATCTTCAGTGCTTTGATGTTTCTATGACTATTGGCATGGTGATTTTACAAGATTATACATAAAGGCCATATTTAACTGTATTTAATAGCAAATTACATTGCGTTGATACCAAACAGCAGCATTATAGGTTATTTTTGTTGGCCCCAATATTATTTCAATATGTCACCCCTCTTCTCCCCACTCCCCCAGAAAAGGTATGTACTTGATTCCCCTTTATTGGTGACATCTACGCTTGATACCAAATTAAAACTCAAATGTTAAATGTTACTATTTAGTTTACTATGGGTAGAGAACATATTAACTATTAAGTTTCTGGTTTTTAGCTTCCTTCTCTTACCTTTTGCAAGTTAACTCCTGGAAGGATTAGACTCTGTTTCTCTTATTTGTTCATTCAACACATTCACTGAGTGACCCCTGCATGTTAGGTACTCTGATGGATTCAAGCAATTTAGATTCTAACTCTTTCAGGAAATCTATATTTCAAAACTGCCAGTTATAGCCAGTGTGATAAGGTTTGGGATAAAGTATTCAGAGTGACCTGAGGGTATAAAAAAGGGCATTTGAATTAGACTGGGTGCCCATACATTTTTTCTGGGAAAGATGACATTTTAAAACATTTTTTAGAAGGGTGAGTAGGAGCTAGTGAGAATGAGAACAGAATGAGAAGAGTGTGAAGAAAGGTGTGCTAAGGAGAGCAGCCTGCCGTGTACCTTTCTGGGAACTGCACGTCTTTTGGTGTAGAGTCAAAGATGTGTGTGGAAGATTTTCATGATATTAAATATTCATGATGTCCTGTTTTAGCAAGATGCGACTTTGATGATGTCAGATTTAGGAAGAAAGGGTCAGTTTATCTCCTGGTCCATTCTCTCCCATATTTTATCCTCCTCACTAGGCTTAGCTTAATTTCAGCTTAATTTCCTTATTCTCCTAAACTAATCAACCTACTGAGCATAGACAATGCAGATGTCCAGAAGCCAGAGTTGGTGAACCAGATCTAATGCTGGATGATCAAGGTGTAATTCTGAAATGGAATGGAGATAATTTATAGGCACATATAGACACCTATATCGACATATACATATATCTCTGTGTGCATATGTGTGTACATAAACATACATGCATCTTTTAAAAAACTTTTCTTTTTCTCTGTATATTAGAAGAAAAATAGTTATATAAATGCATTCTTTTGGAAATAACACTGGACTGTGCTACTAAAAATTAAGGTTTAAAGCAAAGAAAAATATTTCCTCATTTGTAAATACTTTATCACTAAATGTAAATACTTAGAAATTTCTCTCAGGATTCCTCTAGCATTACCTTACCTTAAGAGTTGAAGACATATTGCATACGTTGTTTTATCTGTTTTTCTGTTACCATTGCCATAAAGATGTTTTTATAGTTCTGCATCTGAAATTTCTTTTCTTTCTTTCTTTCTTTCTTTCTTTCTCTTTTCTTTCTTTCTTTCTTTCTTTCTTTCTTTCTTTCTTTCTTTCTTTCTTTCTTTCTTTCTTTCTTTCTTTCTTTCTTTATTTATTTATTTTGAATATTCATGAGATACAAAGCTGATTGTCCCCCCTCCTGCCCATGATGTGGGGACCAGATTCATACTGGAGGCATACCCATTACCAGAAATTACTTTAAAAATACAGAACGCTTCAGGAATTTGCATGTCATCCTTGCACAGGGGCCATACTAATCTTTTCTGTATCGTTCCAATTTTAGTATATGTGCTGCCCAAGTGAGCACTGAAGTGACTTTTAAATTACAAATAGATATAGCTTTTAGAAATTTGGGGATGAAGAAAAAATCCACATATTTATTCAACAGATATTTATTTACAGCCTATAATGTAACTTGCACTGTTACAGTAGTGAAAAAGACAAAGTCCCTGACAGTTTTTCTACAGGGAAGGAAAAAATAAATATGTAATTTGGGGTAGGAAGAAAAATAAAGCAGGTAGGAGGATAATGTGTATGGTGGAGGGAGGAGGGATTGTTATTTTCAGAGGTTTCAAAGGTTCAGACCTTTCTGGAAGGGTGACCTTAGATTTGGGAGAGGAACCGTGTTCCAGGGGAAGAGCATCCTGGAGGAGGGCAGAGACCCAGTGGCAGGTACATGGAGAAAGCAGAAAGCCAGTGTGGCTGGAGCAGAGCAGTCCAGGCAGAGGGGGAAGAAATGTGGTCAGACACACCCATCAGAGACCTGGTCACATAGGGCTTTGCAGGCCACACTAAGGAACTTAGATTTAATTCTGAATTCCGTATGAGCCATCGGATGGCTTTGGGCAGGAGAATATTATTATCTGTTTTAAATTTTAAGAAGTCGACTCTGGCTTTTGTCACTCTAACACAGTCATTGATTTTATTTTAGTTTATTTCCTTTAAATTTATTTTTAATCAAGCCTTGCACTTAAAATACTTTGCAAATTTTAGTTCTTTGCTAAAATTTTGAGATATACTGTTTCGATTAGATGATGGTGTTTTTATAGCATAAAACTCCATTGTAACAGTATTTGTGTATGGCAAGTAAAAATAAGTATTTTGGTTATGTGACTAAATTAGCCAATATACTGGTGCAATGCAGTTTAAGTCATAGCTTTATGAAACTTACTGCTTTGCTTCATCCACTTTCTCTTCCAGGGTGTTTGCCCTGTTTCTAAGTTATAGGTCTCTCCAATATTCTCAGCTAGGTAATTACTCTTTTTTGTTACCAAACTATTTTCAATCATTTTCTATTTTTTAAGTAATGCGGTAAATACAGGACAGGCTTTCTAGCCGTCTTTGAGATCTTAAGGTTTATTTTTCTTAGACAAGTATACTTAGAATGCTGTTTTCATCATCTAAACCTATTTTCTTCCAATATTTCCATCTGAAGAACTACGAGTTATAAAATGATTGATGTTTTGTGGGGGGGCGGTTTGTGTGTGTGTATGTGGGGGGGCAGGGGGGGAGGAGATAAATTAAGCATGAGGCTAAGACTAGGTGAGTTCAAGATATGTAACTGTTAATTCAGCTAATGTTTGTGGCGTGCCTACTCTAATATACATAAAGGGTTGAACACAATGCCTACCTCACATGTGATAGGGACTCAGTAAATGTTAGTTCTACTAATAATTTCATTATTGAAAATCAATTATGTTAACTTATTTTATCTTTGGAATGTCAACATTATGAAATACTTGATTTGTAATGGAGGTTATTACTAGATACATCACCTGACTTTGGTCTGTAGAGAAGCCAGCTAGCTACACAGACAATTTTAATAAAGTGCTATAAAAGTTATCTCTAATGTACTATGGGAACCTTGAAAAGGATGTAATTTTGCTCAGTAGGACAAATTCAGGGAAAGCTGAAAAAGAAAGGTAATATTTGAGCTGGGTCTTGAAGGATAAAAAAGAGCCCGGCATGAAATGGTCAGAAGGGTATTCAAGGCAGAGTGCGGGTAGTCAAGCAGTATCTTAGAGTTATAGACACACAGTTCTGCATTGGTAGAATTGTGTGAAAGGAGAATGGTGTATAACTGGGGTAACGGATGATAGAAGATTCTGTGTACCAATTAAAGAGTACAAACTTTATTGTAGCAACAATAGTGATTTGCTTAAGCAGGGGCAGTAGGAGATTAAACCAATGCTATAGAATAACTGGCAGCAGATTGGATTGCTGGATTATAAGAGCAGAAATTGGAGGTAGCTGGAGGTATTGCAGTAGAACCCTCTGAGGGTCTGAGTAAGGGAAATGAGAATACAGAAGTAAGAATGGATGGGATGGTAACATCTGAGGAAAATCAAAATTCAGTAGAAGGAAGAGACTAATTAATTGGATAGGTGGGGAAAGAGAAGCATCAATAGTAGTAACAATAGCTAAAATGTATCAAGTGCATACCACGTGCTAGTCGTTGTTGTAAGTGATTTATGCATATTAACCCATTTATCTTCATAACCCTGTGGGGCAGGAGCTATTAAATTACCCATTTTACAGGTGAGGAGACTGAGGCAAGGAGAGTACCCTGTAGTTGCTAGTTTAATGAATATGCCTTTAATGGGGATGAATAAGAGAGAGAGAGAACATTTGTGGGAGAGAGGAAGATGCAGCTAATGTGCTTGCTTGAACTTTCCAGGTGCTGTTCTGTGGAGTGCCTGTGTTAGCCTCCGTTCTACCTGATAACTTCCAGTTTCTGATATGGGGAGGAAGACAATATTTTCTTAAGTAGCCACCCGTTGGTGATAGATTGAAGGAAGGCTATAGTATCTTCTATCATAAAAACTCAACTTATGTTTCTGATAACTATTTTTATCATATTATTTTGTTGAAGTAATTCATCAGTAGTAGTATTAAATAATGAATAATGAAAATAATTCATTATTTCTAGTGATGAATTACTTCATCATTATTCATTAAGTTGCTGCGGGTTTTTTTGTTTGTTTGTTTGTTTTGGCAGCTGAATATACAAGGTGCTTTTTTCAGTAACAGCACTCTTCCTTCCGTAGTACTTTGAATATTCTGCTCAACATGAAATTCGGCACAACATCCAGAAGGAATTATGTCTTCATGCTGCTCAAGGTTCTGTTCAGCTGAAGGCATGTGCCTACCGAGGTCATAAGACAGTTGTCACCACAGAACAGATATGGGAGATCCAGAAGGTACCTCAGTGCAATTAATTCATTCCTTTATTTAATTTGTTGATTACCTCTAATTGCTTATCTGCATAAAACATAGTACATTAATATTATCCATTAGATTTTCTCTGCCTTTACTGTGTATGTCTACCCATGTGATAGGAAGATATATCAATGAATTCAATACCCTTAAGGACAAAATAATTGTACAGTTGCTTGATCGAAGCATGGTTTATGCAGATCAACTCTTCTATGTATTATTAATAATAGTTGCTCATTTTTATTGCTTTTTAGGGTTTCTTATAATGCTTCTTGTAACAGTTACTTATTTTTTTCCTGGCAGAGAGAAAAAAAGTCTTCTTATTTTTTCATTTAAGGGGATTGATTATTTCATTCCATTTTAGTACTTTTTTATGAATCTAGAATTGAGAGAATACATGACAGATCTCTTCTGTTTTTAAACACGTTTTTTTAGGTTTTGCTGGATGGTAGTAATTCTTAACTGAAAATTGTTCTGTGCAATACTAGAATACCATAAGACTGACTTTTATGATTCATGATTTTTTTTAAGTTTGTCACTTATGGATATATCAATGGAATAATTCCTGTTTGAAAACTTGATTCAAACCTTGTTCTGTATACCTCTCTACATTTACGTAATACCTTATGTTAATTGAACAGTACTGGCATAAATGGTGGTGTTTACACCAGAAACTGACAAGATTTTATCAGACATAGTTGATCTTAGAAAGATTTAAACTTAAAAATGGAATGTATTTGATATGCAAGTCTCCCTTTAGCTTCCATGAGACCATAAAGTTGTTCTTATATTTATCAGTAAACTATGAGTCTTGAAACTTAATGTTTGTTGTATTTCCTTTTGTTCTAGGATCAACTTCTGTATAATCCATTCTTTAAAATGTGCCTTTCAGCAAATGGAGAGCATCCAAGCTTAGTGTCATGTGATCCATCAGATTCACTCCAAAAATGGATTTTCAGCCAAAACGATTAAGTGTTCCTTAAAATTAAGGAGTTGAAAAAGGAGATATTCGTTCTCATAAAACTGTGACTAGGCATACACTGTAGTTTTTGAAAATTATGCAAAAGCAGCTAATTGTAACTTATTCCAAGTGCATTTTTCTTATTTATATCTTTAAATGTCTATGTAGCACTGCTACAGAAATCCCATAAGTTTCTGTTTCAAAGCACAATAACTAGTGATACCAAAGACTATTTTTAAATGTTCAGATGTAGGGGAAAAATGTTTACAGTATGATGAAAGTAATTTTCCAAGTAAAGTGATGTTTGTGTGTTTTGTACACCTGAGGATATGCATAGCTACGTTCACACACAATTTAAGATATTTCCCCTAGTTTTTTCGGGGGAGGGAGTAATATTTGATACTTATATTTTTTTAACTCCTTAGAAATGGATCAATGAAGGTCAAACATTGGCCTTTCTGTATAAACCAGGAAATTTTTATAGATCTAGAATTTATTATTTTAAAATGCAGGTAAACTTTTTGTCTTTTATTTACTTGTCTGTCGAATGTTTTCTTAAACATAAAATTGAGTAAGAAGGAGAATATTTTTAACACTTAAATTTCTTGGAAATTTTAAAAATATTTTTTGGTCTGAAGCCAATTCCATTTGAAGCACTTAAGTCTTCCTTAAATGACTTTTTAAAAGTAATTGTACTGTGTGTTTTCCCAGAGTAATCAGAAAAAAAACTTTATAAATCACTATCTGTTGCAAAGGTGTCCTTTTCCTTTCTGCTAGTCTTTTTTTTTTTTTTTCCCTTACCAAATTCACTAATCTTGAATGTTTGTGATGTTAAATTTCAGTGTAGACTACCTGACTCATTTAAAGCTAAATTTTATTTGTTACTGATTCAATTATAGATTTTCTTTGTAATAGATTTTTTTCATCAAAAAGCCTTATTTTTATCTATGTGGAAAACACAATAAAAAAATCCTAAACACTATTGTAATCATTTGATTAAGTTTTTTTCCTCTTTTTGGGTAAAATTTATACTTGATAATAGGTGAGGGAAATATGAATTTTGTATGCTGAATTTCCAAACACCTATTGTTTTTAGAGCTATCAGATATTTCTTAAGGAAAATTAGAGCATTTGATGGTAATGGCATAAAAAGTGGGGAATGGAGAAGATTCTGTTAGAATATTTAGAAAATTTTGTACCAATTTCTGATAACTTTCCATGATAGAGTGATGTTTTAAAAATTTGATGCTTAGGGCCGGCCTGGTGGCGCACTCGGTAGAGTGCGGCGCTTAGGAGCGTGGCGGCACTCCCGCCGAGGGTTTGGATCCCATATAGAGACCGGTCCGCTCACTGGTTGAGCACAGTGCGGGCGCAACACCGAGGGTTGCGATCCCGTTGCCAGTCACGAAAAAAGACAAAAAGGAAAAATAAACAAACAAACAAACAAATAAATAAATAAAATCTTGATGCTTATTTAGGAGATTTAACACATTTTTGATTTTGGTGGCTTTATACATAAATCTCTTGTTTTCTTATTCTGGAAGTAAAATAGGATTGGTTTTATATTTTAAACCTGGCAGAGCCTCAACTGTATAAAAGAAAACATTTCTTAAATATTGGCTTCATCTTCTCATTGCCTGTAACTTTGAACTTGCATTAAAAAACCTGTATTCTCTAATTGATTACTATGCCAACTTTTATTTCAGTTCATCTAACACTTATTGTGTCTCTAACTTTGAGTCAGAAGTTATGGTAAGCAGAGTAAGACTTATCATTACCTTTGAGCTATGTTTCATGGGGCAGAAAGAAAGAGATAATTTTAAAATGGATGGTGAGTTGCCAGTATAATGTTATACTTTATGATGCAGATGACAGCTCACTATTTATATTCAATATTTCCTTTGTAAGTAAAGATATTGACCTATTACTATAGCTAATACTAATATGTATTATTAAATATGTACTAGTGCCCACTTACATGTGCAATTTCTATTTCTCAGTTTATCAGTCTAGATGTGAACATGAGAAAATGTTGCTCTTAGAGCTTGTTATATCTCTAAAAACAAAACAATACAATTTCTCAAAGGTATTTTATAAGTGAACTTCAGTGTATTTTAAAAAAAAACAAACCAACCTGAGTGCCCTCTATGTATCAGTCATTAAGGATTGGCCCTTTGGGGTGGGTAGTGCCTTTTAAAAGTCTGAGTTTTGAAACAGTGCTAACAGGGAGTTATTTATGGAGCCTGGCTGCCATCCACCTGAGAGATCTGAATGCACTCAAGTGTGAAATTGTGGAACTCTTGCTCAATTTGAAGCTGCTGTGGCAAATGGTATAGTTGCTACAGAAGACCTGGCATATTGCCTTCATTCCAAAGGACCAAGTCCTAAGAACTCTAGGTTGGTAAACAGCACAGCCAAATGTGCTAGGGTCAATCTGATGGACAGGCTCACTGAAAATGGAGATTTGACCACACAATTGACCATAGGAGAAAAATAAGCAAAACACAAGAATTACTTCTTACTAAGAACAGAGAATGGTCTTACTGTTAATAGGCAATTTAATTAAATGCTATGTAAACCATGAAAATGTAAGTGTAAAAAGGTAGGGAGCTGCTATTTCCTAAACAAGGTTGAATTCTTAGGAAAAACTAGAAAAAAGTCAAGTTATTAAAAAAATACTAAGTTATGTGTGGATGAGAACTGTAAAAGATAGAGAAAACAAAAATCAAGGAACATTCTGCACGCAAATTGCTTCACAATTCACTTGAAAGGCAGCAAAAATAAATATCTTAAGACAATGCATTTTTAGTTGTGGTTTGTGCCAGCAAGATGTTGCAGAACTCTCAGAAACCAGTTCATATTCAGATAAAAGGCCTGCAATAGAATACCTGTGAAGGAGTTAATATATATACAAACGTAGGGGTGTGTGTGTGTGTGTGTGTGTGTGTGTTTTACATTAAAATATTTGATATGTTATTTTCTTTCTTATGGGTTTCTAGTTTAACTACCTTTTTCAAATCAGCCATTAGCCCTACTGCGTTGGAGAAGAGATTGCTCCTGCACACATAGTCTCTCTTGCTCTGTAGTTTTCAACACTATTTAGGAAATATCTTTTGTATTTTAGGGATAGTATTAGGTACCGGGGACTAATAATTTACAAAATAGTTCCTATCTTCAAGAGGTTACAGTCTAGTAATGTGGTCATCACTGGGGTATCATAATGATGAGGTAAACATAATGATGTTTTGGAGCATAACAGTCTCATGATGGAGTCAACACCTTCAGCTTCTGGTAAGAACACTGCCAGGAGCTCCAGGAGAATACAGAAGCCCTATATTTTACAGGTAAATGAAGTGATGCTACTTAAACTTATTGTACACTCCTGAGGATCTTATTAAAATGCAGATTCTGATTTATTAAGCCTAGCGTAGAGTCTGTGATTCTGTATTTCCAGCAAGCTCTCAGGTGATGCTGAGGCTCCTGGCCCTGGAACCACACTTTGAATAGAAAGACCACCCATGAACCAATGCCTAGCATTTTTTGAGATTACCACAATGACTTCCACCATGCTTCACATCCTTTATTTCTTCAGGTACCACCAGAAGTCAACGTCTTTCTGTTGTCCAGTATTGTCACTATGGTTTCCTGGCTGCTCCTACATCCTTTGTATGTCCCTAATTTTATCAATTCCCCACCTTCTGATTACTTTGTACTCTGCCAACTTCTACTCCTGTTCTTTGATCAGAAAACTGTTATATCAACAATGTTTTCTCTGAAAGTTCTATTCATTGCCTTACTTGAACTGAAACTGGACATCTAAGGATACCTCTTCCTATTCCAGTGAGGGCTATTTTTGGTTTTTGGTCTTTTGAGGTTTTTTTTCTATCATTCCTCTTGTGCTTCAACGTAAGGATTTGGAATAGGATTTGGATTTGGTGTGTTCCTTCTTCAAAGCTGCCCCAGCTTATTTGAAGCCGTGACATGTCAATATATTATTCTATACACCTTCGTGCTACAGTCAACCATGAGTCTATAGGTCATTTCTGTTCACTCATTACCTCCAATAACTGAATACTTTCGTTACTGTTTGGGTTTCTTTCTTTATACCCCTACTTCTGTCATCCTCGTGGGTGACTTCATTATCCAGCAATTCACCCAAACTTTGGGTAAACCAAAATATTTGCATCTACTAGCCCTGCACCCAAAGTTATCCTGGACGACACATTCACCATCATTCTGGATGCATCCTTTTACCTCTCCTCTCTCTCATGTTAGGTCTCCTGTTTCATAGATTCTGTGTTTTCCCCTTTCTTTCCTCTTTCTTGGTAACTTTCTGGGGAAGGGTTTAGGATGCATACATTTTCTGGGACCTTTGTATCTGATAGACCTTTATTCTACCTTCACAATAAGTTAGCTGAATGTAGATTTCTTGTTTGGAAATCATTTTAAAAACATTTTGAAGGTTTTGCTTCATTTTCTTCTAAGGTCCAGTATTGAAAACTCCACTGACTTTTTGATTCTTTATCCTTTGTTAGTCTTATTTTTTTTCTCTGAATACATACAGATCTTCTATTTGCCCCAATGTTCTGAAATTTCACAGTAAGTCTTATATTATTATACATTTTGCTGTACTCTTTAAAAACTCATATCTTTCAATTCTAGGAAATTTTCCAAATATTTCTTAATTTTATGTCTTTTGTATTCTCAGTTTCTTTCTGGAAATCTTATTATATCAGACCCCTAATATGTTGATCCATTAATTCATTTGGGAGGGCAGCTTTTCTTTCCTATATTTGGCATCTTTTTCTACTCTATTGGCTAGGAGATATTCTTGATGTATTCTCTAAGCCTCCTATTGACTTTATTTCTGTCATAATTTCTAAGCACATTCTTGTTTTTTGAATCTTCTTGTGCACCACTTTGTTATGAATGTGATTTTTTCTTTTATCTTTCTAAGGATATTGATGGAAGGGTTTTTTTCCCAAGTTTTCATCCACTTACATAGTCTCTTTCTGCCAAGTTGCTTTTATTTTTCTATTGGTTTTTACTTTCTGCACTTCATAGTAGATGCTCTTCTGAAATGTCCAGTGACTCTTGTTTATCTCTAGCAGAGGAGCATCAAATACTTATTAGAAAGCTGTGTAGTGTGGGGAGGGCTTGTTGACTGTGGTCTTTCCTGTAGGGTAACCTTGTCCTGGGAAACAAAATGACAGGTTATATCCCCAGAGAGGAATCTTCCAATCACCTACCTGGAGGGTATAAACTTGACTGCCTTTGGAAAAAAGAGGGCTGAGGATGCATTTTCAATATAAGACTCCTGTCCTCATCTGTGCTGGACAGGTCTCCTCTTCTGGAGACCCTGTTCTACCCTCTCCAGTGAGTGAATCTCTAGGCTTCTGCTTGGGTGTGGGGGATCGAGGGATCTGATAGGGAAATAGACTGTTAGCTAGTCTTCCTCTCCCAGCCACACTTTCTCCCTCATTTCCAGAGGCACCACCAGTTCCTGATCCCTTCTGTGGTCTTGCAGTGTCAAATGGATTACTCTTGTGCTTTCTCCACTGCTAGCTTTGGATTAACTCACTACTAATTGATTTGCTTTTCAGGCTTCAAGTGGTATTGTCATTGAATCTCTCCTACTTTTTCTCCCTGTATATTCATGGATTTTTCTTTTATCTTTACTTTCATCTTCATGGGATTTTGGAAGGGAGCAGAAGAAAACGAGGGTAGAAACTGGTATTCTTGATGAGAAACTTCCATTCATTTTTCAATGACTTCTAATCTATCTTCTATAACTAACAGCTTCCAAGTTGCCAAATCCAATATCCCTTTTCTTGCCTTCATTTATTTAGGCTCTGCAGCACTTGAAACAATTGACTACAACTTCATTTTTGAAATGTGTGAAACTCTCTCTTGGCTTCAATGGCACCACAAACTTCTATGTCCAGTCCCACTGCCCTGCTTCAAACCATCATATCTCACATGGACTAA